AAAACCACAAAAACATTAGGATAGTTTTTCTATTAAATTAATTTTGTTAATTAATCATTTAATTATCTTAACATTTTCTCAAAACTAAAATTAAGAAGATTTAGATCATTTTCCCAAAATAAAATAAAACAACAAAAATATTTTATTCTTAGGATTTTTAGACTTTAGTTTCAAATTCGTGCGTGTTTATTTTATTGTAATTGCCTACTGGTTTGTAATAGCTTAATTAGGACTTTTACACTTTACTGCTTTATCCCCCCAATTTTAGACATATAAATAATCCCCCTCCCCGAAGCCTTGTAATAGCGTAGGATTACAATTCCCACACTTTAAATTTATGTACATATATTAACTGCTTAGATGTATGCTAACTAAGATTGCATGACAAGATCTGAAAACAAACGGTAGAACACCTAAATGTTTAAAGATAAAATAACTAAAACACAACACACTATCACATGTACACCTCTAGGGTACTCCCTCTTCGGTTGCCTTTCGGAAAATAAAGCAGTCATGTTCCTCGAGAATAGGGACGCTTTAGTAAAGACCCGTAAAATCAAAAGATCATAGTCCCTCAATGACCCTTATAGTGTTGTCTTTTGGTTAATGATCTTGTCCCTTAAACAAAAGTTGCTAAAGTGTCTCTGTATGTTGCCTTTATGATTGTAAAACGTCCCTTCGAATATCCCTCAACATCCAACGATAGGGATACCTACTCACTAATAGTAAGATAGCACTATCTAAAGGAGAGGAGGAAAATAACGACCCTTTTCGAGTATAAAAGTAGATAGCTGTTAGAAGTTTGCTCAAAAATACTTTTTGCACTTACACAAATACTACTTTTCAAAAACCAGTTTCAAAAACATTTGCTTTGTTAACACCCTTGAGGACTGATACAAGAGTTAAACGCAAACCAAATCCCTGCACTAAGGCATTTTCCAAACATTTTCAAACGCACAAAGCACAAAAGTATTTCAAAAATGAGCAAACCTCTAAGAGCTCGTAGATAACTACAGATGGAAAGGGTGCTAACACCTTCCCTTTCCATAATCTGCCCCCCTTACTCAGAAAACTCTCGAAAAGGTCTTTTTCTGTTCTTTTCATCCTTTCCTTTGTTGGATAAAAGAAAAGACGGTGGCGACTCTTACTTACCGCGCATTTGCGAATACAAAATGCAAACCAGTATATAACAGTCTGTTCTATTTTGTATTCGTAAACATGCGGTAAGCAAGAGTCGTCACCGTCTTTTCTATTATCCAACAAAGGAAAGGATGAAAAGAACAGGAAAAAGACCTTTTTGAGAGTTTTCTGAGTAAGGGGGGTAGATTATGGAAAGGGAAGATGTTAGCACACTTTTCATCCGTAGTTATCTACGGGCTCTTAGAGGTTTGCTCATTTTTGAAATACTTTTGTGCTTTGTGCGTTTGAAAATGTTTGGAAAATGCCTTAGTGCAGCGATTTGCTTTGCGTTTAACTCTTGTATCAGTCCTCAAGGGTGTTAACAAAGAAAATGTTTTTGAAACTGGTTTTTGAAAAGTAGTATTTGTGTAAGTGCAAAAAGTATTTTTGAGCAAACTTCTAACAACTATCTACTTTGTTACTCGAAAAGGGTCGTTCTTTTCCTCCTCTCCTTTAGATAGTGCTATCCTACTATTAGTGAGTAGGTAGCCCTATCGTTGGATGTTGAGGAACATTCGAAGGGACGTTTTACAGTCATAAAGGCAACATACGGAGACGCTTTAGCAACTTTTGTTTAAGGGACGAGATCATTTACCAAAAGGAAACACTGCAAGGGTCATCGAGGGACTATGACCTTTTAATTTTACGGGTCTTTGCTAAAGCGTCCCTATTCTCGAGGGACATGACTACTTTATTTTCCGAAAGGAAACCGAAGCGGGAGTACCCTAGAGGTGTACATGTGATAGTGTGTTGTGTTTCAGTTATTTTATCTTTAAACATTTAGGAGTTCTATCGTTTGTTTTTAGATCTTGTCATACAATCCTAGTTAGCATACATCTAAGCAGTTAATATATGTACATGAATTTAAAGTGCGGGAATTGTAAATCTTACGCTATTACAAGGCTTCGGGGAGGGAGATTATTTACATGTCCAAAATTGGGGGAAGAATGCAGTAAAGTGTAAAATTCCTAATTAAGCTATTACAAACCAGTAGGCAATTACAATAAAATAAACGCGCATGAATTTGAAACTAACGTCTAAAAATCCTAAGAAAAAAATTGTTTTTGTTGTTTTATTTTATTTTGGGAAAATGATCTACATCTTCTTAATTTTAGTTTTGAGAAAATGTTAAGATAATTAAATGATTAATTAACAAAATTAATTTAATAGAAAAACTATCCTAATGTTTTTGTAGTTTTTTCGATTGATTTTATGTTGATTAAAAAAAAAGAAATAAAAAAGTCAAAACGAAGATGAAATCGAAGGAATGGGCAGTAAATTAAGAAAAGTGTAATTCTGGAGGCCTGGATCAAAAGAGGCTTGGACTGTCTTTCGATTCAGTGAAGAGGCTTGATCGAAGGTGCATGAGGGGCTGAACTTTGGGGGTGTTCGATCTGGATATGTCATCCTTCAATCTAGGAACCCTTGATCCAGTTTGAAGCTGAGCTGCTTCGAAGCTCTGAACAAGATTCCGAGAAGATGTTTCCTGCAAAACGAAATAAATGTTAGAGATCCAGGGGGTCTTTACCCCCCTGATTTGAATCTCCTCCCAATTTGAATCCTTCCTCAATTCGAATTTGTTGAGTTTGGGTCTGTTTTGTCCTGAGATTCGAAGGAAAAACTTAGATCGTGCCCCAGCAATGGCATAATCTCATCTCTGCGCTTTAGCTTACATGCAACATAATCAGTAATAATAAGAATATATGTGCAATGTGTATTTAAATGTCATGAAGGTGCAATTTTGGTTTTGCAAACCCTTACCAGTCGAAGATGTATGATCCGTGCTTCTGGGTGTGGAGATGTTTGCTTAGGAGTTAGGGTGGACTCCTGGATGCGGGAATCTGCAAAAAGTGTTTCGATTGGGATGCTTTTGGGATTTTTGAGCAACGCAAGTGTGTAGTCTCTTCGTGTGCAGTATGTATGCGTGTACCTTTCTCTTGCAGTTTACTGGATATTTATAGGAGATGAGGAAGGAGTCTTAGCATGGAAAGAAACAACCGTAATCATGTCCTTAAAGGCCAGCCATAGTCTTCAAGGCAAAAACCAGACCAATTTAAAGATTTCCTTTTTTTAAATATCCATGCCTCTTTTTGAAATTTCGAATGAACCTGGACATGTCGTGTTTGGCGCCTTGTACGAATTCGAATTGCTCAGAATTTCCTCACCAGAGCATCTTCGATCAACTCTTGTTCTTGTGATGATTTTGATTCAAATTGCACACACTCTCAGCATCATGGATTCTTCGACCAGCCTCTCAAGCATGTTCTCTTCGATGACTCTGAGTCCTAATTCGAAATGCTCAGAACTTCCCTTATCAGAGCTTCTTTGATCATCCCCTAAGCATTGTCCTCTTTTATGATTAGCATTGTTCAGAACTTTCCTTATTAGGGATTCCTCCCTCAAGCATTGCTCTTCGATGGCTCTGAGTTCTGATTCGAACTGTTCAGAGCTTTCCTCATTAGAGCATTGTTCTCCTTGATGATTCTGAATTCCAATTGGAAATGCTTAGAACCTTCCCATCAGAACTTCTTAAATTAAGTCAAACTCTGCATTGATTGCTTGATCTGGGAAACTCTCATATCCAATTAAACCTAATCGAACTTAGTTCTTGTACTCTTTGATTTCCTTCAGTTTGGACCAATCGAAGTGACGTTAAAATGTCACTCGAAGACGCCTTTGTTCATATGCCAATCGAAAGACATTGTTAAGATGCCAATCGAAAGACACCTTATTTAAATTCCAAATGAAAGACATTTTGTTGACATGCCTTCGAAGTACACCCCATTGAAGGACACTCTGAAGTTCCAGTCGAAGGACCTTTTGGAATGCCAATCGAAGGGCCTTTGTCCATACCAATCAAAGGCCTTGTTGAAATGCCAATTGAAAGGCCTTGTCAACAGGCCAATCGAAGGACCTTTGTCCATTCCAATCGAAGGGCGCTATGTAGATGCCAATTGAAGGGCATTTTGTAGATGCCAGTCGAAAGAAACTTAAAAACTTCACTCACAAATTTTCCTTTTCTTTAAGCAAAGGTTTGTGACCAACCATGTGGGGCAAGATCTTGGAAAACATGAGAGGGAAAATTTTGGGGTACAACAATGCTCCTGAAATTACTGTCTACAGATTTGGATTTCTTAAAAGTTCTTTGTGAACCCTTAGTAGATTTTCAAAACATCAAAGATAATGGATTTGATCTTTTGGCTGATGTTACAAACCAAGGATGGGAAAACTACTTCAACCTTCTCAACGGACCTGTTCTTCCTCACCTTGTGAAAGACTTCTGGATACATGCAAAGTCATCAACCTTCTAAGTGGTATCATTTGTTAAAGGAAAGAAGGTTACTGCTAATGAACAAATCATCACCAAAGTTCTTAATCTTAATGGAAAAGGAATAAGATGATATGAGGAAAACAGTCGATGGTCAGAAATGTTGGAAGTCTATCAAGTCATCTTTAAGTCATAGAAAGCCTCGAAGAGTGATGGTCTTCATGATTATCTAAATAATTGGGCCAAAATCTTTGAATCATCAATAATCCAAGTACCTTAAAAGAAGCATGCATCAACTGTTCCTGGAGATTTGTTATACATATTGTACTTTATTTCCTTTGACGTTTGTATAAATCTCCCCTCTCTTATTTTCCACCATCTGAGAGATAATGTGAGAACAACCAGAGATGGAAGTGATAGAAGGAAAAGTTATATTCCTCTGGGAAGACTCTTATCCAGTATCACCACTGAGAGTATCGATCTAAAAGATCTATATGAAAAATACCTTAAGATGACCATTGGTGAACTATTCAACTCTGTGAACCTGGTAGAAATGGGAATTTTGAAAAAGGTATCCAAACCACCTGAAGAAAAGGCTATGAATGTCAGTCTACCAAGAAAAACCCCCCAGTTCAAAATTCAGAATCAAAACGAAAGTCTAAGGGCAATGTTTCTTTTTAGAAACTCCTGCATGGAAGCAGAGGGTGAAGAAGAAAGAAGACGATGTTGTAAGAAACCACATATCTTTTCACCATAAGAGAATCTATCTAGCAAGAAAAGGTCAGCCATAAATGCCATGTTTCAAGAACCTGAAACATCTTAGAAGAAAAAGAAAAGGATAGATTCATCTATGGATATGAATGAATCAAATGTCCCTTGATCCAACTCTGAGCCTAGGAAAATTGTATTACCTCTTCCCTCATCTTCCATAGTGTTCCCCATAACCAATGTTACCTCCCCACTCCATCAAAGTTTTGATGTACCAGAACTAGATCTTGAAGAAATTATCTCATTTTTCACAAAAGATGCTTTAACACAAATTGGGAAGCTTCAAAACCTATCTAGCTCAAGAATTGATTCATCTCTTATAAGCAACAACTGGAATGAGTTCAGCAAATGGATGAATGTTGAATTTTTAAAATTACAAGAATTGTCCTATCAGACCAAGAAAAAGTATTTGACTGAGACAACAGAAAAGGCTATAGTCCTGAAAGTACAAAGAGCAGCTAAAAAGGAAACAACTAAAAATAAGGCCGCAAAAAGAGAAACTGCCATAAAGGATCAAGCTAAGATAGAATAATTCTCCAGCAGAAGTTCTGGCCCATTTTCCAAGCTTCTAAAGTCTATGGAGAAGATGCAGAAGGAACAAGAATCGATTAAACATTTTATTGCAAAAAAAATGGATTTGAATAACTTGATTAAGGAGTTTATTAGGAAATTTGATCAAAACAACCAAGATAACCCTTTACCTTAAACCTTCGTTAGGCATGTTAAGATAGGTTGGTTAGCTCAAACCCCTCATCATAGTTATCCTTATTGTATCATGATAAATGCTTGTATGTCATCTGTTATCTGTTGAAATAGGGATATATGTATCTAACCTTCATACCTTTTGTAATAGCTCTATCTAAAATCTTCTTTAGGAAAGGACTCTTTTTGGGTACCCGAAGAACTAGTCATGCAAATGGTATGGTGGAAAAAAAGGGTGAAGTCCTTGAGGAATGAATGATGTATGCTTAGTGTTTAAGTTTCCTTGTGTCTGTTTTCCTTATTCTGCTTTCCCTAATTATCTATACTTTCCCTTTCAATTTATGAATTATGTTTCCTGTGTTGATTATCTTCTCTGTTTAAATTTTCTCTACCTTTATTACCTTCCTATTCCTTCATTTTAATTTATGTGATTTAAATTCTCTTTGCATATCTTCTATAATTATTATCTAGTCTCACTATCACCTTTTTCTTTCATTTGGTATTTCAATATTTTTCCAGGTTAATCAATAAAATTATTTGGTTGCATGATTACATTAGATATATGTGTGAAAAATCAACATTTCCATAAAATCTTACCAAACAAGTTCTTTTAAGTATCTCATGTTTAAAGACAGAACTTAACTTAGTTGTTATCTAAACAATTCTCTAGCTTGAATATATTTTTTTAAAAGATCATTTATTTGTCCCTTATCACCTTTTTTATTTCTGACAAAGGGGGAGAAAGTAAAATATGATTTTGATAACAAATAACAAACATATAAAATGTTGTTACTACTAACTGTTTGTTTGATGTTTCAATCTGGGAACTCTAAACAAGTTCACCAAGTATTCTAAGACATGTTGAAGATGAAGATCCCAATGCTAAGGTTGAAAACCTTATGGATAATATCAACTCTAATATCATATCTAAGAAGTTGTACATATTGTGAATATATGAATATTCAAACAGATGTACCAAACACGATTCAGAAGTTATAAACTTACTAAAAGTAAGGTAATCTTGTTTGATATCATAGTCTTCAGAAGTTGTTAACTTTCTGAAAGTATGAAATCCAGACTGGCTGAAGAAGAAGATCTTGATGCATGGATAAAGTCAACTCTTACTTTATATCTAAGATATTGTACATCTTATGAATATATGAGCATTTAAACAGATATACCAAACACAATTCAGAAGTTATAAACTTACTGAAAGTAAAGTAATCTTACTTGATATCATAGTATTCATAAGTTGTTAACTTTCTAAAAATATGAAATCCAGGCTCAAAGGTTAGAAGTTGTGCTCTCCTGAAAGGAAGTCAAGTCAACATTCTGATGCATGCTCTCATACAGAGATGTCACTCAAAATCTATGCTCTGATACGTGTGCTTCAGCAACATACGCTCTATTACGAAGTTGTGAACTGTCTGAATGTCTGATACAGTGGAGAATATCATATCAAACATTGATGCTTGATAATCATAATTTTTTGGTTGTTATATTATAATGATGGTCCAAAAGCGTTGATACATGATGCGTGGCACTATTCAATCAGGCTCAAATCAAGTTTTGATGCTTCATAAAGTGTTGATAGAAACCAAGTTCTGAGATGAAGACCAAGCGTTCTAGTAAGACTCTGATGAGTTGCTGTAGGGAAGTGATACTTCTCTATTCTTATGTTCTGATACTCAAAATTTATTTTGTGAGTCTTGGGCTCAGGGGAAGACTTTGGACAAGCTTAAATAGAATTTTGGGTTTAACAGATTCAGGGGGAGCTATTAGCTTAACTCTGAATTTGTCGGTAACAGTGATTACCCTGTATAAATTTTTCTATCAAAATACATGGTTTTGTCATCATCAAGAAGGGGGAGATTGTAAGAACAAGAAGTGTTTCCTACATTTGTCCTTGAGATTTTGATGATAACTTCACATGTTATCTTAGAGAATAATTGTATACACTAATAGTTTCGTCTAGTGCGTAGATGCTGCTACAATGTTCTGACTCTTTCCATAATTTGTTTTAAACACCCAGAGGATAACATGGGACTCATATACCCTAGGGTTTTATCAGCAAGGGTGCAAGGGATTATTACCTGGGAAGCATAGATAGCTTGTTGTTCTGTAGAAACATGAGGTGTTGGAACAAGTTCTTGATTTCCAACAAGGAGCAGTTTGGTGATGTGATGAATTGGTTAAAATGCAGCATCATCAGTGTTCTTTGCTTCATTATTCTTCACATTCTTACTGTATTTTCTACTTTTCTTGGTTGGTGCCATGGTTGAGTTCAGATTGTTAGACGATTGAAGGTTTTTGAGAAGGAAAATTGAAAGTAACGTAAGTTTTTTGAAAACCAGAAATCGAGAAGATCAAAAAAGTGTGTTTGAGGAAGAAGAAGGTATTTATAGCTGGAATTTGTTCAGTTTATATTTTTAAATTTTTTAGTTAGTGGGACATGTGGTGTTTTTTAAGAAGTTAATAAAGAAGGTTGCTTGTTGAAAAGCCACATTGGGAACCTACTTTTAATATCAATGATGAAATTGCATCACGCACGTCTTGATTAGACGTTTTGAAAAGGGGAATCATGATTGTTTCTGACGTCATAGCAGTTAATGTTCATCATGAAGGATTTTTTGTCTGTCGAAATATAGTTGTCTTGTAAAAAATGTATATTTCTCCAAGTATATCGAAATACACATTTTGGGGGGCAATTTGTTAACTAGGAATTTCAACGGTATCAATGTTGAGCTGAAATGATACATATTGAAAGAAAGTTAGTTCGAAAGGAAACATGAAGGAGATCTTGTGAAGATTTCGATAAATAAAAAGCTATTAAGAATTTCATTTCGCTAAATGTTGGCGAATGTTCGTTTGTGAACCATTAGAACTTGATTTATTTGAAGTATTATAAGAATAGATACTTCGACTGTCATGTCTATATTATTTGGCACTTCGAAGACAAGATGGTTTTAAAATTTGAAAGTTTGATCTTATCCAAAAAGACGTGTGGAGGCCTGAAGAGATTCGAAGAACATGCAATAATGAATGTGGCGTTGTTTCAGTAATGGACTGTTAAGGTCGAATTAGTATAAATATGAGTCTTAGCAATAAGATTTGTGTGTTCACATATTTGTACAAATTACTCTAAATTACTCAAAGTACTAGTGTTCGAGAAATGAGTTGTGAGAATGTACGTATGATGCACCAATTTTATGTTTATTGCCATTCATTTTCAATTGAAGTTTTATATATTCCTTTTAAGTTTAAGTCGAAAGTCTTTTACGTATCAGTCTTTTCTTTAAAGCATTACATTACTACCCTCGAAGTAACAATCAAAATCACTATTACTTAAAAGATTATGAATGTTGTCGAAATTATTCTTTATTTTCAAGAACAAAAGTTTGAATAAGAACATGTGTCAATATGATGAATCTGGTCGATCCTGCAAATCACCAAACTTTTCTTCAATTTGAAAGACCAGCGATTGTTTACCAAATTTCACGATAAATAACCTCTCTATGAGAATATGGTAATTGATGATTGGTAGGAAAAAAGGTGCATAAAAAAAGGACAATGAAAGCAAACATGATGGTAGAAAATTATGGTTTTTTTCTTCTTTCCTTTTTAAATTTTAGTCGATGGTAATACAAAAATATTGGCTTGTTTTATGATTGAAAGTGGTTTTTTTCCTCAAATTTTCCAAAACACTTTTTCTTTTGTTTTTTTTTTCTTTTTACTTTTCTCTCTTCTTTTCTTTCTCCTTATTTTTTCTCCTCCTGTATCTTTTTCTTCTTTTTTCATTTTTTTTCTCTTTCTTTTCTTTAAAACCATGATTTAACAAAAGATACTTATGAAATGGCACACGAAATTCTAAGTATCGTTTGTGATGTTTTATATTATCTATCAATATAACTACTCAGACTCGGAGCAATAGAGACTTGTGTAGTGAAAAGTTTTTTTCACAAAATTGAGAATACATCAACGTCCATGGATCAGGTGGTTTTGGAGGCTTCGGCGGTAGTGCCGGTGATGATGAGACTTTGTACAATGAAACTGGAGATGGTGGTTGCAGCAAAGAAGGTTTGGATGCTGGTTTTAATGGTAGATCTGGCGCTTTAAGAGAAGACAATAAATCTGGTGGTTTTGACGGTGGTCGTTGCGAGTTTGATGGTTTATCCAGTGATCATGAAATCAGAGATAAAGATGAAAATTGATTCTCGTTTGGTGGTTTTGCTAGTGGAAACAAATGTGGAGCAGAGACTAATACTGGTTGAGTATGAAGTTGCTTCAAGATCGAATATGTAGGATTGTTTTAATCTTAAATGGCTTCAGTGTTAGATCTGGAAAAAAATTCTACTGCATCTGATACATCTTTTTCACCTCTTTGTTCTACAACAACAACTTGTTCAGGAAAAAGGATTTCTACTACATCTGATGATTTTTCCTTACAAGCAAGTTGTGATACTTTGAGAGAAAGGCGTAAATTTTGGATAAGGTCTTTCAACTCTTTTGTATATATTTTTGAGATTTCATGAGTTTCAGTTAAATATTGTTTTAGAGTTTCTAGCTAGTGAAGTGTTTTTGGTTGTGAAAATGAATTTTGAGGTTGAGATTGGTAGTTAAGGTAGTTTGAATATCCATGGAATGTGGAGGATGATTGTTGAGGTGGAGCATAAACTATGTGTTGTTGTAGGTATGAGATGTATGGAGTGAAGGTTGAAAATGGAGGATTTGAGGATGGATAATAACATGCAGGATATGAGTTTACGGATGATGGAGCAGAAATGGTTGTTGTAGTGGAATAATATGAGTTATTGAATGTAGGAAAAAATAAATGATTGTAGTAAGAATATGCCATAGAAGGGAGATTGAGTGCATTAATAACAACACCAATTGTTAAGAAGCAAAATAAGAATCCTAACAATATTAATAAAAACTCTAAAAACTAACAAGACAATAAACTATCTAAGAAAGTTAAGATAAAAAATAACTTTTTATTTCATTGATTAATTTCTAATGTCTTAATAAAACTACATTATATAATACATCTAACAGATAATAAACTAAAATGTCCAAATATTAATAAAAGCCAACTAAATTACAATACATAAAATATTAATATAAAATTTAAATTCTAATTTAACTTAAATAATATGATTCTACTTTAATGAGTATTGGTGAATTCAATCATAGAGGAAGAAAAAGATTTAGATATTAAAAAAGAGAGTGTAAGACATTTAGAAAAAGCACAATATGAGAAAATAAATAAAAAAAATTAAAGAATTAACCAAAGACAACCGCCACACAAGATATTTAAGGGGTTGTTTATTTTAGAACAAGTAGATATGAATAGTGATGGCAAAAAAATTCATACTCGTAGATATTTGTGAGTAAAATTTGTTACGGATACGGGTAAGATAGTTTAATGGGCATACACGGATAAAATAAATTAATATTTAATTATTTATTTATTTACGGGTACAGATACAGATTTGATGGTACCCATATCGGCGGATATCTAGATCCGTTAATATTTAGCAAAATCATTTAAATATTAATTTTTTAATTTAAAATTATTATTATTATTATTATTTTGTTGAATATTAAATTAATATTATTTTGTTGAATGTAATATAATTATTTGGAAAAAAAAAGAAATAAAATAAATATGATTTATTTTTGTTATTATTATTATTATTATTATTATTATTATTATGTGTTAAATTTGAAATTATTATGTTTCTTTAAAGGAGATAAAAAATTTAATTTATATATAACGGATACCCGCGTGGATACGAGACAAATACAGATATCATATTTATTATATAGGATGAGTAGTAGAAAATTAGTACTCGTATCCATAGATATCCATTGCCTTCTTTAAATACGAAATAGATATTACAGAGAGAAATAACAAAAGAGAGAATACACTTCTCTAGTTTGGAAGAGAGGAGAGTCCCATAGTATCTCTAATGATGAGAACTTAATAATTTCTTAAACTATGCTTATTTTTTTACTATTGGAGTGTGCGTACAATATTAGTTACTTAAATTTAAAAAATGGAACTTCCTCAAACAATTTTAAAAATGAAGAATTTAACATTAAAATATTATTTTTTTAGTTAATTCAATAGAAAAATTAATTCATAATAGTTGGCAATTGAATGTATTGATTAAAAAAAATTAAATATCATTTTGCTATATCTACTATTTTCATTTAAAAAAACATTTAAAAAATAAAATGTATTAATTTTTTTCCTAACGTTACTGCAACATGTTTTGTTATTTTGATATAACATTTAAAAGTGATATATTAAAAAGTAACAACGAAAATTAATTTTTGTATTTTCCATTATTATATATTTTATTTTGTCATTATGTATTTCTTTATTATGTATTTTATTTCTTGTCATTATGCCTTTTATATATATTTTAGTATTATATATTTTATTTCTCGTCATTTACGTATTTTTTTAAAAAATTACCATCTTTTTATAATAATTGAATTAATTAATTAATAGCTTTAAAATATTGTGTAAATAAAATAATATAAATTGGTAGAGTTAAATATAACTTGTTTATTTATAATTATTATTAGAATAAAAATAGTTGAAATTTCTCATAGATTGCTTAAATACAATATAATAATTTAGATCCACAAAATATGACACAAGTAATTAAAATTAATTTTTCAATTGGAGGTGCTAATTTAATGTGGGATCCACGTTTTTCTTTTTCTTCTCATAGTTGCGAAGAAAGACAAGAGAAACTATAAATTCTACCTTTGTTCCTATACTACCCCCTTCTCTTTTCACATTCTCTTTTTATAATGCCCCTTCTCTCTCTTATTAACCTTAGGGATGATAGCGGGTTGAATACGAGTTTAATCACAACTTGCGTCTGCCACTTAGATTCAAACCCATCTCCGTTTCTAAATTCATTTGAGATTAATATTTGTTTTTCTACCTCCGCTCCCAACAAGAAACGGATATTTCCGCTCCCATCCACATAAATTTTAAATTTTTTATATTTTTTCAATAAAAATAAAAATTAATAATTAGACTAAATAATTTATTATTTTAAAAATATTTTTTATAATTTATATTTTTTATTTAAATTGTATTTTTAAAAATATAAATAATAATTCTAATAAATATGATATTGTAATATTAAAATGTGTAAATGAATAATAAAATTATTAAAAATAAATTAAATTTAGTTGACGGATGTGGATGCAAGAAAGATACTAGCATTTCCCGCACATATACCTGTAAATAAAAATTAATTTTTTTTCACTAATTTCAAAACGAGGGCGATCGAAATCTAACGGAAGCAGATTTACTTGTCATGCCTAATAAGTTGACTAATTTTCCACCTTGCATGTCTTTTATTTTTAATTTGTTTTGATAATTTATTGTTGTGTGATACTATTATATATTTTATTCACTAAAATTTAAATTAAACAACCATTAAAATAATAAACTAATTCTGTAAAAGTAACTAAGTAGCATTTAAATTTATCATCTTTTATTAATACTATGTAATCATTAATTAAATTGGTTTAATTTATAAAACTAATAAAATCAAAATTAATACATTGATTTAATTAATTAATTGGAATAAAAATTAAACAATGAGTTTTTAACTTAAAGATATTTTTGTACTTTTAAAAATAACTAACACTTCTAACTTTACTATTTGTCTCTTTCTTTTCTTATATCAATCAATATATCAAATCAATCTATTTCTTACCTACTTCTATCTTCTCTCACTTTTTTTCATCTGATCTTTTCTCACTCTTTCTCGTCTTTTTCTTTCTTTTCATCTTTTCTTCATAGCCAAACATACACTAAAAGCAATCAACACCAATACTAAAGGAACTCCCATCTCGCTTGAAAACTATATTTCTTGAGTATAGCAATGTCGATATTGTGACAATTTAAACAAATACAAAAACTAAAAACATTGAGAGAGAGAAAGTCATTCCATAAACGTACCTAATGACACATTTGGTAACACATTTTATTTTATCAGATTGACACTTCAGAAAATAATTATGCAATGTTAAAACTAAAACAAACTAAATAATCGCAAAATCACAATATATTATCGATTATTGTAAACTCTTTTTACACACATTCAATTAAATTGTGATATCACTTTTACTTTCAAAAAAATCTTCCACCAAATCTACATGATAAAATGTGATATGATGATGCATGTGTGAAAAGGAAAATCGGCACATACCTAATTCCATTTTGATTTGAAAAAAGAAACCAAACATTTTTAAAAGACACAAATCAACGTTGAATATCACAAATCAACATTGGCTGCTAGCTAGTATTAAATTTACACGGCCTTAGAAGTTGAGTTCTGAAAATTATAGTTTCTATTTTTAGTTCATATCTATACATAATCCAATTGAATTATTAATACATTATTAAACATTGACCATGATATTCAACTCTATCATTCAATTTTTCCAGGTTGACCCAAACCCAATCTTCTAGTAGTACTTAGCAGGAAGTGCCATGAAAATGCATTATATTTTTTATTCCTATTTGACCAAATTCTTATACACCACGATTCATCATTATATTCATCTCAACTTAGAAGAAAAAATTAGTTAGGCCAAAAAAACAATGGAGGGTGTTGTGGTTCAGAATGGAGCACAAGTATTACCAGGGTCATGGGCTCATAACCAATTCACAAGAAACGAAAACAATCAAGGACATTGGATGGAACAAATGCGAGGTTCTCTTATGGTAGTAGCCACAGTTATAGCATCCTTAACTTTCCAAATTGCAATCAACCCACCAGGTGGTGTTTGGCAAGAAAACTCAAGTATTCAACAAGGTTGTGCTCCTGACCAAACGTGCAAAGCTGGTACTTCAGTTTTAGCTTTTGGTGATAGTAACCAAAAGACTAGATATGAGCTTTTTTTACTTTTGTGTACCATATCTTTCTCCGCTTCTCAAGCGATAATTGTCTTGTTGATATGTGGATTTCCTCTTCGAAACAAGTTTGTTATGTGGTTTCTTATACTTATTACGTGTCTCTCAGTGTTTTGTACGGCGGGGGCTTATGTGATTGCGATTTGGATGATACTGAATCCGCTTAATGGAACGTTTTATAGGATTACAATTTATTATGGAATTTTTTGGGTAGGGTTGATTGTTCTATTGTTTCTGATACTTTTGTGCCGTTTAGTGTTT